TTCTATTCTATTCTATTCTATTCTATTCTATTCTATTCTATTCTATTCTATTCTATTCTATTCCCGTTCCATTCCGTTCCGTTCCATTCCATTCTATTCTTTATTCTATTCCTCTCTATTATCTATTCTATTCTATTCTTTATTCTATTCTATTCTTCCTTGTTTCCTATTCCCATTCCGTTCTATTCTATTCTACATGGCGGGGTGGGCGGGTGGGAAGAATCCGGAGAGTTCACAAGACAGATGGCTTAGGGAACAAAGCTGTTACACAATTCAGTAGTTCTGCTATAGGTACTTCGAAACCCCCTCCCCAGAGGGGAGCAACGGAGACAGACTGTGGAGGGGCTGTTTGGAGGGGATCTCTAACAACTCCATCATAACCCTGCGTTGGTATTGGTAAGGCCTAGAAAAACAACAACTGAGTTTTTGCAAATTTCAATGGTAATAAAATACAGCATATTGAAAAACACCATTCTACCCTTGCGTTTAATAATGTTCCTTTCCTCTCTTTAAAAAAAGAAAATTCAACAATATTTGGAAGGGCTTTGGAGGCTACTCTGGAGACTATGGTTCTGAGTCCAAGCCACCTTAAGAACGCAGGGCTGTGCGTTGCCCCCTGGGAGAGGAAGCAAATAAGGAGATGGGTGAGGGAAAGAAGCTTTACCTTGCGGATAAGCTGCTGCTGTTGCTCCAGGTTTCTAATATCCTTGTCCAACTCTTCGCTGAGTTGATTCAGTTCCTTCTCCAGCAACTCCTGGCAGAGGAGAAAGAAATAGGCAGCTTTAGGAGTGTAGCTGCCCGGCTGCTGCTGCTGCTGCGGAGGAGAGACCACAGTCAGAAAGCCAAGAAGCCGCTCCGGCTGTCTGGCTGAGTCAAGAGGGAAGCATGCCGAGGCTCAGTGGTGCCCGCTGCGGTGCTGGAGAGCCAGGCTCTTTCTTGGTCGTGTCAAGCACGGGTGGAGTCCAAGCTGTGCTCCCTGCTACCCAAACAGCTCCTTAAATCGGAGTTGCACAATGCCGTCCACCTGATACCTTTGCTTTACAGAAGTCCCACTTTGTTCGAAAGGGCAGCTGGTGAAAACGCCCGCAGCGGGAAGGCAGCCTCAAGGCTATAATTCAAAGATTGGAAGAAGGACCATGCGTGTGTGTGTGTGTGTGTGTGTGTGTGTGTGTGTGTGTGTGTTTGAGACTATCTCAGGGAATGTAAAACGGCCAGTTATAGGTGTGCATTGCCTACAAGGAAATGCGCCCTCTTACAACATTAAAAGATTCCAATATGTTTAAAGCACACACGCACGCACACAGAGTGTGCTTTTAGACAAATGTCTAGAGTGGGGTGTTTTTTCCCTCCCTCCTGGAATGTTTTTATTTATTTATTTATTTGATTTGCCAATTGTTTACAAGATAATAAGTATAAGTGTATACATAGTTATGAATACATGAATACATTTTCTGTGTGCAGTGCATTTTTCCATGGAGAAACCTTCAGTCAGGGTGCAGCTCGAAGCCTTTAATGTTCGTTTGTTTCCTTATGGTTTGCTTTTACTATGAACCGCAAGGCAAGGCTGCAGTTTCCACAGGGATATTTTTAAAAGGAAGGGCGAAAACTGATAAAAGGGGGTTGTACACTTGACCACATTTCGTGTACTGTGAGTTATGCAGAGTTTATAGGTCATTGTATATTCTCCCTTTCACGAGAGAGATTGCCAGCGAGGGCAGGCAATTTTTAGGTAGGCCTTCTCCTCCAGGATTCAAACCCGGCTATTAACGCGTTGCGGTGGCAAAATTCTGTGTTGCTGCAATGTCTGCAAGGAAAAAACTGGTTACAGAACTATAGCTGTCAATTTGTGACAATTTCTGGAGATAGAACAATCTTTGGAAAATGATATTTACATGCATACTTATTGGCTTTCCACTCATATAAACCAGGGAGTGACCCTAACTGTTTGAGAACAGGTATTTTCTTAACAGGGATGTTATTATCCACTATTAAT